CCTCTGTCTGAGTGCAGACGCAGAACAGGAAGGTCCGAGTCGAAACTCTCGCTGAGCTTGCGACGGGCACCGCGGATCCAGTCGATCAACACCTCTGTGACCTCACCCTTGCGGCGCAAGGGGAAGACTGTGGTGTAACGCGAGTAGACGTCAACGACCAGCAGGAAGTAACGCTCGTGACCCTGACCACTGACGCGGGCTGGGCCCCACACGTCCATGTGGAGAGTCTGCTGGGGAGCCTCTGTCGGAGGGAACTCGGAGGAGTGAGGAGCGGCGTGCTGCCGGCCCTCGACACAAGGAACACACGTAGGAGGCCCCGGAGGAAGGGGAGGGAGGGACCTGGGGAGACAGAGACAAGGGTACGGGAGGCCATACCTCGAAGACGAGGTAGGGAGGGGTGACCAAGGCGGTGGTGCCAAAGGAGAGTCTCGTGTGACAAAGGACAACACGAGCAGGGGGTAGACGCTGGACTAGACCTGGACGCGGCAGTAAACACCTGACCAGACGCGGCTACCTGACCAGTCGCAGTAACCGGAGGAGACGCAGTAGTCAGTGTGTACTGACTCAACCCAGGCCGACGGGTGAACATGGCCAGGTGGCGGTCCGTCCGAGAGCAAGTGCAGTGGGTCACACGCTGACCTCCAGGGGTGAACTTGTCAACCCACAAGTCCTGAAGGTCATCTCCACTCACGAAGTTCGTAGAGAACGAGGGGAGGTGGAGTCCTGACAGCAAGCCCGACGGGGCCGCAGGATACGGTAGAACCGTCTAAGAGTGCGCAAGGACTGGGCCCTTAGAGGGGTCAGCCAGGGAGACTGCGACAGGCTGACTGAGCGACGTGAGTGTGGTGCTGTCGCGAAATAAGGAGCGCGAAGCACCAGAGTCAAGTGTGAAAGTGTGCAAGGCCTCAGTAGGTGCAGTACCAGAGAGAGCAGACTCACCAGCACCTGGAGCAGCAGACTCACTAGTACCTGGAGCAGCAGACTCACTAGTACCTAGAGCAGCGGACTCACTAGCACCTAGAGCAGCAGCCTCAATGCCTAGGTCGGGCGGAACACACAGGTAACAGTCACCCTCAGCACTATCAGTCACAGCATACATGGCAGCAAGGATAGCATCGAAATCAAGATCAAAGATAGCAACATTTCGCTTAAGCAGATCACCCCAGCGAGGGAGCTCAACAGCGTCAGGAAACTGGGCGCGCCAGGCGTCAGTCAGGCGACCGATGCAGCGCTGAGCAATGTGTGGCAGCCCGCACGTCTCCCCACGGCGTCTGCCGGTGCGAAGAACGTAAGTGCAGGGACCAACACCCCCAGACCTCCCACGCCCAATGTACCACTCACGAAGCTGCTGGGCCGACGGGGTCTCACGGGAACGCGGCTGCTGCTGGCGCTGGCTACCACCAAAGCCTCCACGCTGCGCGGCTCCACCTCTACCAGCACCACCGCCGCCGCCACCTCCACCACCGCTGCCGCTGCCTCCACCGCCGCTGCCGCTGCCTCCACCACCCCCACTGCCGCCTCCGAAGCCCCCACTCCCGCCACCACCCCCACCTCCACCACCACCCTCTCCGCCTCCTCCACCGCCTCCACCGCCGCCCCCACCGTCCCCTCCACCACCCTTGCCCCCCTTGCCCCCCTTGCCCTTGCTGTTGCGACGTCTCCCACTAGGAGCAGACGCAGCCCTGACCTCCGCGCCAACGAGGTCGAAAGCAGCAGCAGAAGCAATAGAGGGGAGAAGGGGGACAGGGGAACACCCCTCAAAGAAAGGGGTGCGACGGTCGCCGCGAGAAGCACCTACAGCAACGATACTCTTCTCAGCTGCAGTGAGGCGCTCCTCTAGCAGGTCGACGGTGAGCTCGGTGGGGCAAAGGGAGAGAAAGTGGTCCCTGACTGAAGCGAGGGAGTAAGGGAGGTGGGTGACTAGGTAGTAAAGGGTGATGTACATGGGGGGGGGGGTTCTTGGCACAGAACTCAGTGGGAAGCGCACTGCGGTAGCGGGCGTCACTAGTGAGGAGGTGAGTAATGAGGTCAGCGACTGTGGCAAAGGCGGCAAGGTCAGGGAACAGGTACGGCAGCATGAGGCGGCTGAGGGCAGCAGTGGCAGGGGAGGAGTAGCGCGCTACTACAGCGTCATACAAAGACTTAGCAGTCTTGTACTGGCCAAAGTGCGCGCGCTTAGAAGACGGCAGGCGACTACGAATAGCAAGGTGAGCAACAGCGTCACGAGTGGTCCACTGCGAGCGAACCGTACTGTCAGCAGTGGCAGCAGGTGCAGGAGAGACACCGGACGTATGATCGAAAAGAGATACTCCGTCCGTAGAATGACACTCAAGAAAGAGCTGCAGGTCGTCAACCCACACGTCAAAGTCAACCGCACGCCCCTCAGCATCAAAGGTAAGAACATTAGGGCTAGCCATAGCGGCAGTAGCAGCAGTAGCAGCAGTGGCAGCAGAAGCAGCAGTAGCAGCAACAGCAGCGCGGGCAGGGCAGTGCGGCTCAGTGGGGCGGCGCGGCTCGGCAGGGCGGCGCGGCTCGGTAGGGCGGCGCGGCTCGGCTGGGCGGCGCGGCTCGGCTCCTAGCAGCGCGGCGCGACAAGGCGGCGCGGCTCGGAGGAGCGGCGCGGCTCGGCTGGGCGGCGCGGGTGCTTACCAGGGGCGAGTGCAGGGCAGGGACGCAGCTGGCGGTTAGGTCAGGGCCGCGACTGGGGTGGCAGCAGGGCAGGGCCGCTACTTGGCGGCGGTAGAGCAGGGCCGCGACTGGGGCGGCTGAAGGGCAGGGCCGCGACGCGTCGGCGGCAGCGCAGGGCCGCGACAGGGCAACAGCAGGGCAGGGTAGGGCAGGGCCGCGACGAGCAGCGGCAGGGCAGAGGCCGCGGCGGGTGGCAAGGTGGGCCGGGGGTGGCTGCAGGGCAGGGCCGCGACGGGCCGAGAAGGCAGGGGGCCGCGACGGGCCGTTAGGGCAGGGCCGCGACGAGCAGCGGCAGGGTAGTGCCGCGGGTGGCGGCAGGGCAGGGCCGCGACGGGCCGAGAAGGCAGGGCCGCGACGGGCGGCTCTAGGGCAGGGCGCGACACGGCGCAGGTAAGGCAGGCGCGAGGTGCGCTTCGGGCGGGGCAGGAAAAAAAAAATGATCGTGGTGGGCCCTAAAAAAAACGTTCCCACGAGGGAACCTGCTCAGAATGCCATGTTAGAATCGTGAAGGAAGGAATGACTGAACTAGCAAGCAGGTGGGTACAAGTGGGAAACCTAAAAGTGTTGTACCCTATATGAACTACCCCACTACAGCCTAGACAGACTAAAGCATATAAGTTTGACAATATTGAACTTAAAATAAGATAACACTAGGCAGGAACGCAATGAAACCCCAAGCGGATGGAAGGAATGCATGGAGCAGAATGGGATTGGAGCCTGGATGGCAGGTAGCACGGCTGGGCGGCGTGGATGCATCAGTGCTTGCCAGCAAAAATGGGCCACAGGACCACGGGTGCAAACAATGGGTCAGAAACCATCGCATCGCAGCCTGTCAGCATCGCTCTGTTGCAACCTTGTCATTGGTCAACCCACATAATGCTGCAAAAGTGGCCAATGATCGGACCAAGCGCGCCAAAAAAACAGCCCTCAAAGCAAATAACACGGGGCAAATTTGTCTGGTAGTCACCGCCAGACGGTGCTAATATCGCGGGAATATGAGATTCCCTATACTTCCGGGCAACTACACTCGGAACGTGTAGGAATCGCATTCAGTTTCATTTTCGTTACAACGTAGTGTAATCAGTGTCCCTTCAAAAAAAAAAAAAAAAAAACCTGAAAGTTCAGAGTCAAATGGCCCCTAAAGGCTGAAAAATCAGTCCCCCAAAAAGCCGAACACTGGAAAATCAGGGTAGGTAAAAAAAAATCCCTGAAAACCAGGAATTTCGGGGGAAAATTCCTGATATCATAGGGCTTGCAGTAAGAACTCTAATTCGTAAACAAAATCTAATATGTGTATTGATTGTTGTGTTTGAGAATTTGCTGTCGCTTCCCATGTATGGGTCAACCCTCCCCGATTCCTTCCTAAACATACAAGCGAATCCACCGAATGACGAGTCATTACTGCAAGGGAGGAGATTAGTCCTGTCACTCAGCGGCTTGTCAGAACCCTTCGCAAGGTACCAAAATATCGTCAAGGAATTAGAGTAAATTCTCCCCGTGACGCATCATTGCATCTTCAATCTCCCCTCGTGCAGCCCTTCCCCATGGAAGACGATGGATTGCACGACGAATGCTCACCCCTCATTCGCTCTCCGGTATCCTCTCGGCAATCCCCAGACCATGTCGGCCGCTCGTCGCGAGACTGTTGCGACCTTGCACGTACCCCGATCGAAGCCTTACTCGAACCCTGGGATCCACGATCAGACACCACCGCCACCGTCAGCGACAGCTGTACCACGGGATCGACGATTGGCTGCCACGTGGCTCAGCCATTCACAGGACCCAGTGCATGCCCTGATCACGGATCACTCGCCGTTCTCGATGAATTGGACCCTCAGGAAGCTTCCACGAAGGGGGAGCAGCCAGGGCGATGGCCATGGGCATGGTTACCAGTGTGGATAGGTCGGGATTCCGACACAGCCATTGGACGGACTACAGGATCCAGTTCAGGGAGTAGTACGGTGACTGATACAGGTACTACTACAGGGACTACCACTACCGAGTATACGACAGGTACTACGACAGGGACCATTGCAGGGTCTGGAGGGCTGTGCGCGTGGGACGAGTGGCGGTGGGTGTACTCGCGGGACGGACTTAAAGCCCTGGCGCTCGGCCAGCTCATGTCGCTGCTGCTCACCGTCACCGCCACGTGTTCCGCGCTGCTGGCCGCCAGAGGTGCGAAACGATGCCACGTGGAGGTGTGCGATTCACGGAGATGTATGATCCTTCAGCTTCATCACACTTGTGAAACGTGTTATTGGTAACACCCTGATTGTCTCTGATTGGAGATTCGGATAGTTGCCACGTGGCAGGAGTGAGTATCCCCACGACCCAATCACTGCTCAACTACGTGCTGCTGGCCGCTGTGTATGGCGCCGTGCTTCTGCATCGCAAGGCACCCCTCACTGTAAGGCTTCTTCAATCATTCAAACCAACGACAACCCTCGCTGAAAGCACGCCTCGCTACACGCACTGTCGACTAACTGTTGTGTCCTTGCTACTCGCACTCTCTTTAAATGCCCTCGCTATATGCTCAGCTATTGCTCCTAGGTTATTTCGGATTGGTTTTTTAAGGCGCCTCAGGAATTCTCAGAAATCCTTTCAGCCATATTCCTGGTCGGGGTTCTGGGATTGCTCCTGATTGCCTCGCAACTGTTCGTGCAAGAAACCCTCTGACTTTTGAGTCAACTTACAAGTCAACTGCTCTCTCAAAGTGCCTCCAGGCGCCATCAGTCTGTGTTTTCTACTCCTTGCACTCACCCGCCATCCACACACCCTTTCAGGTGCCGTGGCGTGTGCTCCTGCTCGCGTCCTTTCTCGATGTTGAAGGGAATTACTTTGGTCAGTGCGTGCCTTGTGCTCATCTCATTGGCCCTTGATCCCTCTCATCTTCCTCTCATCTCCCTCTCATTCGTCTCATTGCACTTGCGTCGTCTCATCTTTCCCTTTCCTTTCACTCCAGTCGTGCTCGCCTTCCCCATCACCTCCTTGACTCCAGTCACTCTCCTTGACCGCTTGCTGGGGAATTCTCCTGATCAACCATCGTGGTCTCTCGTGCTTCCATTCCCACGCTGTCCCTCATTCCTCTCTCTCCACTCCGTCTCTCACCCATCCAGTCGCCCTGGCCTTCCGTTTCACCGCCGCATTAACCCACGTCACTCTCCTGGATTACCAAGCCATCTCCCTCTCATTGGCCGTTGCTGCCTCTCATCTCTTTCCCTCCTTCCCCACGCTACCCCTCCCCTCCAGTCGTTCTCGCCTTCCGTTTCACCTCATTGACACGAGTCACCCTCCTCGACTGCTGGGCCATCCCAGCAGCCATGCTGCTAGCAGCGCTCTGCCTCTCCACGCGCTACCATGCCTCGCATGTTATCGGCACGCTGCTCTGCACGGCCGGCCTCGCCATGCTGCTGCTCTCCGACGCCGGTGAGAGCTCAGAGACTTTTCCTTCTTATCCTAGAACCCCTTCTGCCTCTCCACGCGCTACCATCCCCCCCAAGTCATCGGCGCTAGGCTCTGCACTGCTGGACTCGCCAGGCTGCCGCTCTCTGATGCATGTGAAACTGGGAGGTTCTGTTGGCAGCAGGTGCTTTAGGTTTAGTTGTTCTTTAGGTTTCTCAACAGCTCTCTTCAGCGCAGGCGAGGGCTGACTGGGAGTAGGGAGAAAAGGAGGGGGGGAGTTGTGGGAAGGGAGGGGGGAGGGGAAGGGGGGGGGGGGGATACTCACAACAGCAACCGGGAGGGGGCGCCTTGCACCTTTGCACCCATGCTCCCAGCACCCATCCCTCCTGTAGCAACGCTCCCACCAGCAAAGTTCCCAGGCAGTTCGGTCCTTGCAGCTATTGAGACGTCTCAAAAGGCAGCTATCCTCCCTCCATCATTCTCCCACGTTCTCCTCCCTTCTTCTCCCGTTTGCCCTTCCTCACCCTAAGGTCCCTCCAAGCACGGAGGCAGCACAGCCACTGGCAGCAGCAGCAACGCGACTCTGGGGAATGTGCTTGTGCTTCTCGGTGCTACTCTATATGCTGCTTCCAATGTCACTGTGGTGAGTCCTGAGGCGTCTCAGATGTCATTGCTTCCTCCGTTTCAATGTGCCTTAGACTCTATGGTGACTTTTGAGGTGCCTCTAGAGCCGCTTTATACTCCGTTTCCAATGCATGCAATGAGTGCGTGGTGAGTGTGCGGTGAGTGTGTGGTGGGTGTGCAGTGAGTGTGTGTAGAGTGTATGGTGAGTGTATGGAGAGTGTGTGGTAAGTGTGTGGTGAAAACCTCTCTCTCTTTTCTCTTATCCCCCACCTCTCTCAGGAGTACCTCGCTCATCGAGTGGAGACAACAGAGCTGCTGGCCTTCATTGGTTGCGCTGGATCCCTCATTAGCTTCACACAGCTGTAAGCGCCCGTTCTCATCCCTCTTTGTTATCAAAGTGCACCCTTCCCATGCCTCATTAGCTTCACCTCACACAGCTGTAAGCGCACTGTTTCCGTGCGTCACTGGTATCACACGTCTCAGAGAGCATCGTCGCTATCCAATCCTTGTATCGCACATGGATACATCAGTCTGTGTGTGCATTGCGCGCACACACATGTGCCTCACATTCCATGGCACGTCTGTCCAATGCCTTTCATTGCATTGTGTGCACACACACAGTTGTCAGTTCCCTTACATGAGTGTACTCTAGATTGGTTCTGAGACGCCTCAAGACTGCCAGATCTTTTCTTGGGTGTCTTAAATACTGATATATGCGCTCTCCACCTGCCCATCATGCTCCAGTCTCCCCCTCACACACACCCATCTCCCTCTCACACCCATCTCCCCCTCACGCCCATCTGCCCCACACACCCATCTGCCCCACACACCCATCTCCCCCTCACACCCATCTCCCTCTCACACCCATCTCCCCCTCACGCCCATCTGCCCCACACACCCATCTCCCCCTCACACCCATCTCCCCCTCACACCCATCTCCCCCTCACACCCCTCTGCCCAATGCAGTCTTTTCCTGGAAGGAGCAGACCTGCACTCCCTCCGCTTCGATGCCCACACTGTATGCCACATAGCTTGGATGCCACTGCCTCTCACCATTTACTTTCTGTCACTACTTTCCCTCACTACCTACTCTCGATGACTACATGTTCTAGAACTGCATATTCTTTGTATCCCTCTTTTCATCTGATATCAAGGCCACCCTATTTCCTGGCTCCCCAGCCTGCTGCTAGTGTTCCACGTAAAATATGAGGGCAAATTTCTGCTTGGCAGTTACGGATAGCTTCTGGTTGTTTTACATCCACATGTGTATCGATACTCTGTGTACAGATGTCGCATATCTATGTTTCCTCCTAATCCCTCTTCCCTTTCACCTCGGTACATCCCTCCGCCCCTCACTCAAACCACAGGTCCTCCCTATGGTTCTCTTCTCGGTCGCCCTCTTCGCCTTCTACTCCCTCACTCCCCTCATGCTCCGTGTAAGCCCCCGAAACACAAGTACTTGATGTGCATTTGAACGTTATGTATTTATTTATTTTGTTGACAGACACGCAATTGTCCACCACCCAGCTTACCATGTGTGTGCTTAAGCTGAACACCACTTCACATCACCGTGTCCTATCTTCTCATGCTTGACTCGTTCCCTGCTTTCACTTCACCCCTCGTCCTGCCCCTTGCCCCTCCCCCTTCCCCATCTAACCAGCTGGGCGGCGCCGCTCTCTTCAACCTCTCCCTCCTCACATCAGACCTCTGGGCGGCGGGAGTGGCAGCTCTTGTCTTTAACCAGCCTGTGAGTCTGCGCTTTCGAGTCTTAAAGACTTCAGCTCTGAGTTTTTCTGTCAGGCTTTGGTTGTGTTGCCAAGCGGCAATAGAATGCTGTGCAAGCACACTGACCATGCAGAAAACATCTGCTGTTTTGCAGGTTGAGAGCATTTATTTCACTTCTCTTGCGGTGGTTTCTGTGGGCCTAGTAATTTTCAGCTTGAGATGATGTACACAAGAATAAGCTGTATTTTTCTAGTACAATCGATTGAAGTTAAAGGAGTTATATTGTCCATGTTCCTTATCAACATCGGTTCCTGGTACTATCGCAATTGGCGGGAAAAGCTTACTGTGTTGGTTGACCAGGCATTCTGAGTCGATAGTAATCTACGATTATGTTTTGAGGTAGGTTGGACGCTTCGGTCCTCTTTGGAAAATGCTCCAAGGACTGAGGGGTACTTGTGGATTGTAACCTGCCTGTAACGCCTTTAGTTGTTATCGCTGAGTGCGGAACTTGAACTTGGGCTTTCATATGTGTGACAACTCGCAGCTAGCACAGAAATATGAACAAATGGCGGAGCTGAGGGTGTGGAAGGCGTGGGGTGATGTGGTTTTGTACAGCCCATTTCCGGGTATATTCCCAGAACAAACTTGTTTCCAGTATTCTGTGTCATTTTCTGACAGGCGGCTCCAGACACCACCCCTGCGCTTCGATGTCAGCGAGGCAATTTCGTAACATATTTTCGTTTTGGCGCTCCGACAACAGCGATGCTTTACCATCCTTGCCTCCTCGTTCTTTCCTTGCCTCTCCTCTGTGTGAGTGAGGAAGGCGACATCAAAACAAGAAGCTACCAGACGCACTGTATTCCACACCACTCCAGCCCACTCCTTACCGAGACTGCTGCGGCGTTATCGAGGCTGCGGATTCGAGTCATCGATCCAACCACTAGTCTATTTCGGAGCGTCGAGTGAGCAGGCTTATTATCCCGCAGCCGCCTTCTCAGCTCGAAGACGCAGAAACGCCGAGTGTACATAGCTTGTGAAGCGTACTTTGCAGTTTCACACCAAACGTCTTGGGAACAGTTCTGTTTAGTCGTAAAAACGATTCGCAAGAGCAGTCTAAACAAGGCCCTGCCTCCCGTCGTCAGCAACTGCATACGAGTAAAAAAACTCCTTGCGTTCGATCTCAGATCGGGAGCACTGTGGGAGTCACTTTTGAGAAACTCTCAAATCGGGAACACTGCGTCGGCCGTTCAGAAGGTCCATGGCGAGCAATACGGGCCTGCATGTTCGCGCCCACGCTCTTAGCATTCTCCTCGCATGCATCGCCCTCTCAGGTGCGGTCCCACAAGTGACTTCAGGTGACCCCTAAGGCTACCCAGGGGTAACCACTTGTTGCATGGGCAGTTTTCCTCCGGAATGAGTATAGGACCTCGGAGGTGGTACAAAAGCCATTTAACTGCCCTCCTTTCCCGAATGCGGCCCTGGGTTGCGTTATAAATTACGATCGGCGCGCAGTAATGCTCAGTGCCTCATATCTCCGTTACGAGCATCCAGGGCCTTATGTGTCGACTCAAAGGGGAGCATTCGACTGTCTCGGTTCCTTTTCCCATCGTGCAAGCACCCCGAGAGTGGCCACATGGGCCACATGGCGCGCAGTGTTCCACGTCTCGTCGAATTCCTAACAGCCAAATCCCTCATTTCCTTGTTCCATCGGCGCGCAGCAACCCTGGGAGTGACAGCGCAGCCCTCGCTCCGGTGGCGCAAGGCGCTCAACGTGTCGACCGTGTTCAACGCCGCCAAGTTCGGAGCCGGCACGCAGAGCACGCGCAGCGGCTTCATCGGCCTACCTTACAGTATGCTCCGCACCCTTCCCGGCCCTCTCGCCCCTCTCGCCCCTCTCGCCCTTTTCGCCCCTGCCACCCCTGTCGACCTTGTCGCCCCGTCGTTTTGGTCGTCGCTTTCGCAATCTTGGCTGCAGGGATGGTCGGGCTCCCATGTTGCATCTGCCAGCTTCCATTTTCTCACGCTCCCCACCGCCACTGTACCCCGCCACCCCAACCCTTGTTTATCCAGCGACTTTTTTTCCGCCACCGACTGAGCGGAAGGCGGGCTGAGCGGAAGGCGGGCTGAGAGGAAGCCGGGCTGCGCGGAAGGCGGGCTGAGCGAAAGGCGCGCTTAGCGGAAGGCGGGCTGAGCGGAAGGCAGGCTGAGCGGAAGGCGGGCTGGGCGGAAGGCGGGCTGAGCGGAAGGCGGGCTGAGCGGAAGGCGGGCTGAGCGGAAGGCGGGCTGAGCGGAAGGCGGAGCGGAAGGCGGGCTGAGCGGAAGGCGGGCTGCGCGGAAGGCGGGCTGAGCGGAAGGCGGGCTGCGAGGAAGGCAGGTTAAGGCGTATTCTTGACTTCTTTTCTCCTTCCCCACCTTTTCTTCCTGGCAGGGGAGGTATACGCGAAACTCACAGGCAAGGCCGTTCCGGGCTCCAAGGGGGACAAGGGAGCAAACGGATGGCTCGATATCAACATCTATAAGTGAGTGCGCTTGTACAGGGTATGTACGAGCTGCATGTTCAAGCGTGGCAGTGGTTGCCCTTCATTGTGCATGCATCCTTGGTCCTTCATTTAATCCCTGTGCGTCTTCTGTTTTACTCTATCCCATCCGCGTTCTTTCTCACTTCCGCCGCGTTCTTTCTCACTTCCGTTCTGCTCTCACGACATTCCCAAACAGATGGAACCATGAATACAACGTTCGCTTCTTCGCGTCCACCTTGGGACTGTCGCGCAATGAGGTGCCCCTGTCAGTGAGCATCCATCGCGGAAGCCCTAAACGCGACGGCACTGGCGACACCAACATGGTTCTCTCGTTTGACTCGCTACAAGCAGCCTCGAGTGCAAACACAGGTTACACCTCTGGAGCATCGTCCACCCTTTCGTTTCCGTGGTTGGCTGTTGACCCGACGCCCATGCAGCGGTTACGCGGTTACAAGGGGTACGGGTTTATGCAAGAGGGTACAGTGCAGAAGGCGCGGGGTGTACAAGTAGACTCAACTGGCAAGACTCTGTGCAAGTTACTTGATGAGCTTATAAAGAGGCCAGGGAAGTTCTTTGTGGTGGTGAAAACGCCATCGCTTCCCGAGGGGGCTGTGCTCGGGCGCATGCAAGGCTCGCTGGTTACAAAGTTACTACACTGAGTGTCTGGGGTGACTGTCTGGTTACAAAGTTACTACACTGAGTGTGTAGGGGTGTGTTATGAGTTGTAAAAGAGAGTGCGCTGTTTCACGAATAACGAGAAGTGATTGAACAGACTGATTATACGATGAAGGCACACGCTAATATAGTGGGCAGGCTAGCTAGGAGGGAACTTCGGGTGAGTGAGGTTGGGTGCAGGTTTGGCGAAGAGAAAAGTTGAAGGCGACGCGAGGAGGCCCGGCATCGTTGATGTCGGCCAAACGTGCAGAGTCTGAAAATCGGGGCTGTACGCGAAGCAGTCAACCCCGATAAGGAATTCGGGAAAATTCCTTACACTACCCCCCCCTTCTTGAGCAAGGTGGTCAATATCCGCGGCGCGCTTGCGTACGAGGTAATCAACAACAAGCGAAGAGTCTGCAAGCGAGGCGGATGACACCCATGTGTAGTCCTCACTGGTTCGGTCAGTCCAACGGATTAAAAAATCCACGTGGCGGCCAGCGGCATCGAGGCGAACACGATGGGCCAAGATCTTGGACGGGTCAAGGGTCGGTTCGGGCACCGGGCGTGCCGTTGGTGCAGCCTGTTGCCGGGCGATGTCGGTCGTGGCTGGCACGAACTTGCGAAGTAAGCTGACATGGAAGGCGTCATGAATACGCCAGTCGTCGGGTAGCAGCAGTTTCGCGGTGACAGGTGTCACCATCTTTATGATCTTGAAAGGCCCGCAAAATCGTGGCCGCAACTTCGAGGGGCCGGGCAGTCGCAGGTTTTTCGTGTCGAGGAGGACTAATTGCCCAGCTGTCAAGACTAGTTCCCGTCGTAAAAGATTCGGTGTATTTTCGGGAAGTGGTATTCGCCTTGCGAATTGCGTTCGCAGCTTTTTCTCGAACCTCCTGGAGTTCCGTCACGAATGTTTGTGACCGCGGGACTGGATTGTCGAGTGTAGTCGTTGTAGGCACCATCGGGTCCATCCCGTAATCTAAAAAGAACGGGGAGTGATTAGTCGTACTGGACGGGGCATTGTTGAAGGCAAACTCCAACATGGCGAGCGAGTCTTCCCAGCGAGCAGGGTCGGGGCAGTTCGTCCGTATCAGCTGCTCCATGGTCTGATTGGTCCGCTCGGTCTGACCGTCCGTTTGTGGGTGGTATGCGGAAGAGAACTGTAGCTTCGTGCCGTACTGCGCCCACGTCTCCTTCCAAAATTTCGACGTGAATTTCGGATCTCGGTCGCTGATGATCGCCGAGGGAATTCTGTGCAGTCGTACGACCGTTGATATGAATAGTCGTGCAGTCTCTTCGGCCGTGATTGCTGTACGACATGGTGCGAAGTGCGCCATTTTCGTGAGACGATCGACGACGACAAGGACAGCGTCGTTGCCGGATGGTCCAGCTGGCATCCCCGTGACAAAATCCATTGTCACTTGTTGCCAAGGTCGTTCGGGTGGCTCGAGGGGTTGCAGCAGTCCAGCTGGCCGTTGACGTGTTGATTTCATGGCCTGGCACACCCTGCATGAGGACACATATCGCTGCACGTCGTTAGAGGAGTCAGGCCAATAATAGTGACGGTGCAGTAATTTCTGGGTTTTATCAACCCCGAAATGTCAGGAGAAGTTTGAATCGTCGACTTCTTGGATAAGTAGTTCACGCAGCAGACGGTAAGCGGGAACCCAAATCCGGTCAGTTCCGGCTTTTAGGAAATTATCCCCTTTCTGCGTCGTGGCGTGCTGGTGGTTCCCAGTCGTGAAGAACGGGTCCGTAATGTAGCCGTGGGTGAAAAGTCCGGTAAGTAACGGGTTCGAGTGGTGAATGAGTACTGCAGCGGATTGTACTGTCGGTCGGGTCAGGGCGTCGGCAATGTTATTTGCCCCTTTCTTGTACGTGATGCGGTAGGTGAAGTGGCTTTCCATGTAATCCAGCCACCGAATTTGTCG